ACACACACACACACACACACACACACACACACACACACACACACATATTCCTTCCCAAGCAAGGCTTTGCAGAGTTATTGCTTTACAAAAATCACAGCTAATGGGTACCTCTCTAATCCAGACACCTCTTTAATCCGGACACCTCTCCAATGCAGAAACCTCTCTAATACGGGCATCTCTCCATGAGGACACCCCTCCAATATGGTCACTACATGCGTCCCGCAGGGGACAAAATTAGGTCCCTGGCTTTTTCTAGTTATGATGAACGATCTCGACGTTGCTGGCGACGCGAGCCTTTGGAAATACGTTGATGATTCAACCATGTCTGAAACTGTCGGTAAAGATCAACCTAGTGCAATGCAAACTTATCGGTTAACGAATTCGCCGCAAAGTCTAGAAACGATGGTATGCATCTAAAGGAATCCAAGTGTAAAGAACTTCGCATTAGCTTTTCAACTACAAATGTCGAATTCGAACCCATTATCATCAACAACAAAGAAATTGAAGTGGTCCCGTCTGCAACACTGTTAGGCCTATCTATATCCAACGATTTTAAATGGAACACACAAATCGAGAATGTATGCAAAAAAGTCTCATCTCGCTTATACTTTTTGAGACAATTGAAACGAGCCAAATTGCCATCAAAAGACCTCCTTTTGTTTTATGTCACTTGCGTTCGGCCGGTGGCTGAATACGCGTGTGAAGTGTTCCATGACTCGCTTCCTAAATACCTGTCCGATGAACTCGAGAAACTACAAGTAGGGGCATGCAAAATAATTCTTCCTGGACACTCCTACGAAAATGCACTTAACGAGCTAAGTCTCACCTCTCTGACCGACCGAAGACAAAACCTAACAAACAAACTTTTTAAAACTATTGTTAATGATCCTCAAAATAAACTACATCACTTATTACCCACATTAAATCACTCTGAGGTATCTCTAAGAGTAAGAAGAAAGTTTTTAGTTCCTAATTTTAAGACAATTAGATGTAAAAACGATTTATCAACTGTAATTCCAGTAAACATATAGAATATACGTAAAATATTTAATGTGTTTAATCCATGTAAATACATAGGTAAATACTTTTATTAACTTTTTTAATCTACTGTTGTAAAACATAACGTTATTCAGCCAAAGGTTATTACCAAGGCTGCGAGTTTAACTATTAAATCATCTATCCATCTATCCTATCCAATAAAGAAACCTGTGAATCACGTGTCGCCTCTGCTGACCTTGTTCGGTTGTAGCAAAGGGATACTGGGCACATTTATTTCCTGCGCATCCCATCCACCGTCACTTGTTGACTTCTCGTTCTAGGATAAATTCTAGGAAAAAACGAAAATTAAGAGGGAAATGAATAATTAGAATAATTAATGAGGAAATCGAATAATTAATGACGCGCGGATAAGTGGGAAGGGGAGGAATTTCTCGTCTTCAAATTAGGAAACTTTGTCGAGGAAACATTGAATTTCGATGTTCCTTGAATGTTATCTTAAGCGCTTACTCTTGGAAACGCATTGTCGCAAAAATTTACAAAATTTACTCCCAACAACTTCAAAATTTTTTGTTCCCCAAGTGTTAAAAAGGACAAAATTTTATGTTTATTTCATTTAAAAACGGTACCGGTTCTATTTCGCTCCTCAACAAAAGAAAATTCTACAAGTACAACATTAACTTGAATTAGTATTTTTGCACAAGTGAATATAACAAATTCTACAAGTTGATTGGTCAAGAATATGACAACCGAAATTTGCAAAATTGCGGCTAACCGTTTTGTGGAAGTTACTGATAAAGAAATAAGAGAAATTAAAATAAATTCAGTCCCAAAAAACACAAAAGACTTGTGTAAAAATGCTAAAACAATTATTCGCCTCAGGCTCGGTGATTATCGGGGAATATTCCCCGACTGTAAAACGTGGCTTAGAAAGTTGAAATGTATTTTAACGAAAGTTGTGAAATTCATTAATAATTCATGAAGAAAACACAAAAGAAATCATGAGCGTGAAGGAGTGTGAATATCTGATACAAAATCATGTTGATTTACATAATCTTTAAGTTCAAATTTCTCACTAAATATCATTCATTTATTTTAAATTATTGAAGAATACGCACTGGATGTTCTCATCAGGCCATTTACAACATTTGCGTCCATCCATGTTGTAAATAGTCCATAAAACAGTTAGTGTTGTGAGATAAGACAATACAAATCGAGTGATATGTGATTTAAGGAGGGCCGAAATGAAGATTTATTTACCAAGTTCGACATTGAAACAGCCACCATTACCAATCGAACTTGTTCTGAAAAAATTCAACACAATAGAACGTTGTAAAGCATTTTCACCCTTTGGAACACGAGTTTTAGAAGCACCACTTCCACCTAGAAAAATGAAGAAAATGTTCATGTTTAAGAACGACTCTGTAAGGCTGAATGCCAAAAGTAATAATCAAGAATACGGGTCCATTCAAATACGCACGCCTTTCTAATACATTCGTCTCTTCACTGCGGACACCTCTCTCATACAGACAACTTTCTAGTACATACACCCTTCTGATACTGACACATCTCTGTTATCTAGACACCTTTCTTATACGACTTCTCCATCTAATACATACGAACACCACTCTAACACAGACATCTCTCTAATACAGACATCTCTCTAATACGTGTACCTCTCTTATACAGACATCTCTCTAATACGTTCGTCTCTTCACTACGGACACGTCTCTAATACAGACATCTCTCTAATACGGGTACCGCTCTAATACAGACACACCTTTCTAATACGTTCGTCTCTTCACTACGGACACCTCTCTAATATAGACACATATATCTGATATGTACACCCCTCTGATACTGACACATCTCTGTTATCCAGACACCTTTCTTATAGAGAGACGTCTCCATGTAATACAGATACAGAAAGTTTTTTAATTTGGGTATCTTTTAAATATGGATATCTCTCTAATACGGATACCTCTCTAATGGGCACCTCTCTAATCCAGACACCCATTTAATCCGGACGCCTCTCTATAATACAGAAACCTCTCTAGTACGGGCATCTCTCCAGGACGACACCTCTCCAATATGGTCACTACTCTAACAAAAGAAACCTCTGAATCATGGGTTGCCTCTCCTGGGCGGACATTTCTTTAATGCATATACTTCGTACCTTCACTGGTTGTAGCAAAGGGATACCGGGCACATGCATCGTTTCCTCCATCCGCTCCTCCACAGCGAGAGAGACGTTTGTTTTTAGTTATGGCTTTTCCGTCCGTGATGCGATGTAGACGTGTTGGTTTGCCGCCTTGAATGGCCCGTCGAATAAACTCACAATAATTTGGCAAATAATATCGACACGGCAAAATCAACGTCGGGCATGTTTGACGTTTTTCAAGAGATATCTCCGTGCCATCAGCTGAATCTTTAAAGATAATGAGTCATTTAATTATTGTTGATAATGCGTTGCTTTATATTGATTACACAGGGCCTGGTTACCTGCTTGACAAAGGCTAAGACCTAGGATCTTGTTTTTAGTGAAAAACTCCAAGAAAAACCCTCCAAGCACAGTCCCCTAACCTATAAAGAAACCCCCAAGTCTCGACCAACAGTAGCAGGATTAGCTCAGCGGTAAGGGGCAGTACTACAATGTGTAACTGGCTTCGATTCCAAGCACTTCAAATTTCACTCAAAACATTGCCCGTGTATACGGTTTCCTTCTGTAGCAAAACTGAATCAATACGAGATCGTCTTTATTGGCCTGTCTTCTCCGAAGAATAATTCAGAACTGATTGAACTATCCAGTATCAAAACCCTGAGCGTTAATTTCATTGAAAATCATTGATATTCAAATTGTACGAAGGATGATACGAACCTTCCACAGAGTCTGCTGTCGTGAACGCAGCGAACAGAACGACACAAACGAAAGGCAACAAAACTTTCATTCTTCACAATTTGACAAGAATTAAACAAATATCCTGTGAAAAAATTCAAACATTTAAGCGCACCAATTAAGTTTTCTCAATTTCTCACGAAGGTCAAAATCTGCCATTTTTGGGGCACTGTCTGCCCTCGTGAAAGATTCTAGACAATTCAAACAACGAGAAGAGTGATTTTAAAAGTTGTAACTGTAAATTTACTATTATACAAACAACTATAATACTAAAAAGTTGTATTTCCTGGTGCGGAGACTCTCTAACGTGGGAAATGCTTGTCAGATGTTCAGTAGTAGTGTATATCCACACCGGGCAAGCTTGAAATGGCCACGTCAGTGGGAGTCGAATCTACGACCTTTGGAACACTAGCAAATCGTAGGAACTAGACTCAGTTCCGAAAGACCACATTCTCGAACTGACCTGACCGCGTCGCTCAGTTGGCAGAGCATTGGGCTAGTATACCAAAGGTCGTAGGTTCGATTCCCACCGTAGCCAGGCATATTTTTCAAGCTTTCCCGGTGTGGATATACACTCAGAGTAACACCAAAAGAAACAAGCGTTAAATATGTAGCCAAAGCAATGCTTTTTCATGTACATAAATGAAGAAAGACACTAAAATCGTTACGATGTTCGTATTGCATTTGTATAGGAAATACGACTGAAATGTACAAGTTTTGTAGGCGCTAATTATACAACTACATCGTAATCTTGGCAAACGGGATGAAACACTCCATACCGTTGCAGTGCATGTGCCTGCAAATAAATCAGTTTCGTTTTGACTTTGAAGTGGTCCTGAAGAAGTCAAAATGATCTACCAATAATGACTTTCGAGTTTCTCTATGACATAAAACCCACCCACTGTAACGTAAACACTTCAATTGGTGCTTATCACGATGTGCATGATAAGTGTGCCCTGTGTCTGTGAGAACGTTTCTGACACTCCTAGATAAAATTCGTAAAGACGAAGGGATCGATAGACCATGCTTTCACAAATTTTGTTCTACATTTTGTTCTACAGGGTTGTTTAAAAGAAAGATAAGTGGTTTTGAAAGTTTAGTAATGCATGTTTTGGCTCGAATACAAACGTAAAAGTAATTTTGTCAAAACTGACTAAAGCTATTTTAAAGCTATGCAAGGCATGGACGCTTAACTCCATGAGGTCGTAAAGACCCGCATACCCTAGTCTGAATTTTAGACGGTCGCTAATTTCCGTATAATAGTCATTTTTATTTGGACTAAGGCAATTATAAAACAGAAATAGAATAGAGGCAAAATGAGATGGTAATATGATTTTGTGTACAGTTTTTTTTCCGTCGATGAATTGGGAGTCACCATGATGGCAATTATATATTAGCATACTATACATAACAGTATGATACAGCATTATAAAATAACATGTATATAACACGCGTGCTCTGATTGGTCGAAACCCGTGTTTGGCCCGTGGATCAGGAAATTTAAAGTGAAATTTTAACACGGAAAGTGGTTATTTTATAAAACAATTACTTAGTTATGGTTTCAGTGTTTGGATGGCCTGATCCAAACACTTGGGAATGTTGCTCGAGTTAAGAAAAGCGCGCAAAACTTTCAAAATCACTTATCTTTCTTTTAAACAACCCTGTAGAACAAAAATTGTGAAAGCATGGTCTATCGACCCTTATTGTGAAAGCATGGTCTATCGATCCCTATCGAGCGTTTTTCTGAACTCTCGCAACATTCCCGCGTGTTTGGATCAGGCCATCCAAACACGGAAACCATAAAGTAATTGTATATTATTGGCGTATGGCTGCATTAGTTGTCTTGCATGCAAGATGAATTTTCAGTGCAAGTTGTAGAAAAGTTCATTCTCATTAGATATTTACGACTGCGCGTTTAAGTTACGTTGGTAAAAAAGTCATTTCTTGCAAGTGCATGTCAAGTCAAAAGTCATTTTGTTCCGAGCAAAGTCAAGTATATTTGGACATGGTTTTACTCTATAAGTTAATTATTGATGAGAGCGCTCTACCAATAATAGCTGAATCAAGAAAAACCAGACGTGAAACCAACGAAAACGTGATTAGATTTGTAATATAATAATTTTGTTTGTGGAAACACCACGTACATTTATTACTGCAAAGCTTTCGATCCGTAAGCCCGGATCTTCATCAGTGCTAATAATATAATAGATTTGTAATACCCTTTGCTAAAACTGTAACATACCAGTCTTCATATCTTATTAGTCATTATTAGAGCGTGTAAAACGAGGAACGTTTTAAATAGTGACCTCCGTAATAGAGATATTGGTCTGCAAGCTTTCAAATCTGGACTAAAAGCGTACTACAAAAATTTGTATTTTGTTTTAAATTAGTTTGTTTCGACTGCCGTTAAAATTATTGTAATTGTAAAGTTAATTATGGGGTCGCCGTAATAGGGATAAACCTGTGGCGAACTCCCTTGCGCTATATTAGCCGAATCTCATTAAATCATTATTAACAAATCAAGTCACAAGTCATAGAAATTGCATTCGACAGTCTCGACTCCAAATCGCATGACTCGAGTGTACAATTTGCCCTCAGCCATGTATTTAAACTATAAGAAAGATTCTTCATTAAAGGAATCTCAAAACGGGTGTATATATATATCTTGTGTTAAGACTCAAACATTTTCCCTACCTGGTTTCGATTGTTCGTCTGTAAATTTTACCTTTGCAGCGTGAGTATCAGTGTCGTTTTGATTCTTATTGTTATAGCACTGGGAGATTATATATGGTCCTGAAGAAGTCAAAATGATTTACCAATAATGACTTTCGGGTTTCGCCATGACGTAAAACCCAGCTACTGACTGTAACGTAAACACTTCAATGGACCATTTGCATTATAGACAAAATTTTGATCTAGACAAAAATTTCATCACAGCTTGAAAGAGTATCACAAAATTAGTAATATTCCAAAGTTTCGTTGCGAAATGTTGTAAAATGCGGATAATATAGCCATGCGAAGTTTGCCGTTTTTCAGTCATTTTGTATTACGCATGGGAAATTGACAGCCCAATCGGGTGTCGGGGCATCAATTTCCCGTTTGTAAGGCCACATAAAATAAATTCCTTGATTCTCATCACTACACTTTGAAAATGTCGAAGAGGCGGGAGGTTTATATTTTATATTTTATATTTATATAATTCTATATATCAATAAATAAAAGTGTCACAAACTGAAATAAACATATTTCTCCACGAACAATGACTGGCCCTTGAACTGAATGCGAAGTTCCGTTAAAATGCAATGAAATTTCTTTCAAGGGTCTATTTGTTTGAAATTGGCAGTTTAAAATGGCACTAAAAACCCAATATAAAATATAAAATACTTAACTGTCTTGAAATATTTTGTCGGGCGGTACATTTATATTGTATAACAAAATATAAAAAAATTTCACGCGGCTCTTAAAATACAGTCGGGCGGTGATGAGAATCAAGGAATTTATTTTATGTGGCCTAATCTAAAATGACTGAAATTGCAAATTTCGCATGGCTATATTATCCGCAATTTACAACATTTCGCAACGAAACTTTGGAATATTACTAATTTTGTGGTGCTCTTTCAAGCTGTGATGAAATTTTTGTCTAGATCAAAATTTAGTCTATAATGCAAATGTCCATTGGTACTTATCATGATCAGTATGCATGAACGCTTGGCTGCCACAAGCCAGGAATCCCTGCAAGAACTTTCAGTTCCGACACCCCTGGGTAAAACTCGTAAAGACTAAGGGTCTAAGGGATCGATGGGCAATCAAGTGAGCTTGTACTCTTTTGTTCTACATGAGATTTCCGTTCTGGGGGGCTGAATTATTTTTTCAGATTGCATAATCATAACCTGGTTTGCTTAATCCAAGATTAATGAAAATTAATAATAGGAAAGATTATTAATCGGGGTCACATGTTAGCGGCAACTGCGAATACGTTTAATGAAATACGCACACAAACGATATTTTTCAGTAACGCGCAGTCGAGGAAATTAGCAGAGGTTTATAAGATAACGAAATGTAACATCTTGTTGTTTCAACTATTGAAACCACCCTGAATTTCGTTGTCTTCACTCAAATCTCGAGTTTACGAGATAATAATATTCGAAGTGTGTTTTACTTATATTTCTTGTTCTAGATCTCGTTTGATCGGACACGAGAGTTGAGAAAACTCTCATGCAAACTCTCGCTTCTCAACTCTCATCGATTTCTCAGATGAAAAATTTCCCATATAAACACCCCAGCCCGCTTACCAGCCCGCTTACACCCCAGCCCGCTAGCTTAACACATCACTCCATTAACCGCAATTTATAGCTTTGCTTAAATTGATTATTGGACCAGGAACTGGTCCCCAATCGCTGCTAACCTTCTTCTTGTTATTGTTGTTGTTAGGGGGCGACGCTCTTTGAAAAACCCTAAGACTCCGTCATTACTTGTCTGATCGGAATGAAATTTTACACAATTATTCTAAGCAATATTCCGCATCGATTGACGGTGTTCGATTTTTCATTTTTGACTTTAGAAGCAAGATAGAAGCAATTTTTGACTGTATTCGTAGCAAATAATATATACATATCATTAATATTCAGCAAATATATCAGCAAACGCCAACGATAAGAAAGACATTGTCTAGTATTGTTGTGAACACAATCACAATAGTCTAAAGCTTCTCTAGAATGTGAACGACTAATTATAACAATTAATTATAAGCGTTAACGGGGTTGACTAAATTTAACACGCTGGCTTAGTTTCTCAAAGCGTAGTGGAGTAATATTGCTATCTGGCTGTCATATAATATTCATAGTCCGATAGAAAATCGTGAACCGTAAAAACAAAGACATTTAATTTGTTTTTAGCACAAGCATGCAGTTATGAAGCCATGACTAAGCGAGATGAAATTGCATTAACCTGGCAACAATTCCGGCAGATAATTTGTTACCTTAACTTATTTTGTAATTAATGGCAGGCACGGCAAGGCAAAATTTGATGTACGGCAAAAGTTAGCTGACCTAAGCACGGCCAGTTTATTCTAAATATTGTGGGACATTTAACTTATCTATCGAATTCAAATGCGAGGAAATACTTTTGAAAACTGCCCGGATAAAGTGTATCTTGCATGACCAAATTAAAGCAAAACATTTAGCGAACTCAGTCTACGTTGCAAACTTCAAGAACATTAGTTTCACAAGTGTCTAGTTATTTGTTTATCAATTCAAAATCTCGAAGGTTTTGAACGTTTAACGATTTGCACAAGATCGAAACTGGGTCACGCAGTTCCTGGCCACTATAGTACGATCGTACTTGTTTTAACACTTTTTATTTAGTTTTATGTTTGTTTTATAAACAAGTATTAAATATGATTTTTTCTGTGTTGGTGTTATATGTACTCAGGTGAATATGATGCTTGTCAGATGTTCAGTACTAGTGTATATCCACACCGGGCAAGCTTGAAATGGCCACGTCAGTGGGAGTCGAATCTACGACCTTTGGAACACTAGCAAATCGTAGGAACTAGACTCAGTTCCGAAAGACCACATTCTCGAACTGACCTGACCGCGTCGCTCAGTTGGCAGAGCATTGGGCTAGTATACCAAAGGTCGTAGGTTCGATTCCCACCGTAGCCAGGCATATTTTTCAAGCTTTCCCGGTGTGGATATACACTCAGAGTAACACCAAAAGAAACAAGCGTTAAATATGTAGCCAAAGCAATGCTTTTTCATGTACATAAATGAAGAAAGACACTAAAATCGTTACGATGTTCGTATTGCATTTGTATAGGAAATACGACTGAAATGTACAAGTTTTGCAGGCGCTAATTATACAACTACATCGTAATCTTGGCAAACGGGATGAAACACTCCATACCGTTGCAGTGCATGTGCCTGCAAATAAATCAGTTTCGTTTTGACTTTCAAGTGGTCCTGAAGAAGTCAAAATGATCTACCAATAATGACTTTCGAGTTTCTCTATGACGTAAAACCCACCCACTGTAACGTAAACACTTCAATTGGTGCTTATCACGATGTGCATGATAAGTGTGCCCTGTGTCTGTGAGAACGTTTCTGACACTTCTAGATAAAATTCGTAAAGACGAAGAGATCGATAGACCATGCTTTCACAAATTTTGTTCTACATTTTGTTCTACAGGGTTGTTTAAAAGAAAGATAAGTGGTTTTGAAAGTTTAGTAATGCATGTTTTGGCTCGAATACAAACGTAAAAGTAATTTTGTCAAAACTGACTAAAGCTATTTTAAAGCTATGCAAGGCATGGACGCTTAACTCCATGAGGTCGTAAAGACCCGCATACCCTAGTCTGAATCGTTTTAGACGGTCGCTAATTTCCGTATAATAGTCATTTTTATTTGGACTAAGGCAATTATAAAACAGAAATAGAACAGAGGCAAAATGAGATGGTAATATGATTTTGAAATTATCAACCAAGACTGCAGTGGAGTGCCTTGCTGCCATATATAGCTCCCTCTACGCAAATCGCGATTGCAGTTATATATAAATCAGTGACTGATCTGATCTGAGCTTCAACGGCCCCACCCCGAACCGACCATGTCCCCCCCCGTCGGGAACGAGTTGTCCAAAATCAATTCTGAAAGTAATTGTATACATCAAACTAACAATGCGAATAAACATATATTTTTATCTGAATATCATACACTCGGGATATTTTTGCAATCTTTTTGCCCAGTATAAATAATTGACTAAATAATATCAAACAAATAATTATGTACATTTCGACCTTGCAAAAACAATGCAAGAGAATCAAGCACCTTATTTACCGTTACACGGCGAGTAAAGTTATATAGGCTCAAACAAATGAATAAATAAATAAATATACCTAAATGTAAATTTCTTGAACTATATATAGTACTGAGTACAGTATACTGTGTGTGGCTGTCTTTATCCTTGTGTTATTCCCTGTGCATTTCTTTCCTCTTTCTTTAAGCGTACCTCCTCCCTGTGGTGTTCCTCTGCTCTTAATTTTTCAAGTCTAGCTTCACGCTGCGCTTCGAGGTTCTCTTTGTATCTCTCCATTTTTTGTTGAGCTTTCTCAGCTTTCTTACGGATCTCATTCTCAATTTTCTCTTCACTCACGTGTTTCGCTCGTCTCAGGCGCTCCTCTTCAGCTTCGAATTTCTCCTGAAAACATATGCGCGGATATAATTGAGAAACAATGTTTGTTGTGTGTTCTATCAGCCAAAATGCAGATATAGCATAAAGTATTATCTATATATTGGCCTAGTTTACCCAACGAAGGCATGGAATCAAAATGGAATCGAAACAATGTTCGACCAAACTTGAAATGTTTCCAATCAAATTTCATTGATTTGGTCGGACATTTTTCAGGACAAATTTTGCAATATATACTGCAATGCCGAAATGGATATTGTATAATCGAGGTGCTCGGTTACCACATTCTATTCTTTTATGACAAATATTTCAATATTTCAATATTTTCAACCGAACTATTTCAATATTTACAAGTATAAGCTATCAGTCCGTGTTTACACAGCCACCATTTTTATTTTTTCAGCATTATCAGCAATGTGATACCTTACTTCCCATCGTCCCCTGCACGCATAAACTAAAAGCTGGAATTGCCTATTCCACCCCAACCGATGATTAGGCCAGCTATACTACAACTACAATCTTCACCTGACGTGCTTTCTCCTGATTCTCAAGCAGTTCCTTCGCAGTCATGAATTTCTGTTGTGTTTTCTCTTCTAAATCTTTTGAACGATTCTGTTGGATCTCTTCACGAATATTCTTCGCCATTTCGATCTTCTTAAATCTTGCTTGCTGTTGTTCCTTTATTCCTTTAATAATGGCTTCACGTTTCTCTGTCGATACCTCGGTCTTCACCGTTATTTTCTCTTCAGTTGTCTATGGTTAAAATTAATCAGATAATAATTAGTGAGAGATTAAGCCAATCAAGATTCAAGCTCAATTTATTTTAGTTACAATTTTTAAAATTTATTTTATTCTATTTTTTTCACGTAGATTTCAATACGACATACCGTAAACTTCAGAATATAAGCCCTGGGCTTATATAATTTCATAAGCCTTTTTTGATGGGCTTATACATGGGGGGGGGGGCTTATATACGGGGGGCTTATACACGGACCACATCTTAGGTTAATAGTAAGAAAACACGTACTATATTTACGGACCGAAACTGCACAAAAAATATGTCCGTGACTCCTTGAGGCAAAATCGGGACGAACTGTCAAGTGTTTTGTAATCCTTTATAACCTTTGTTTAAATAAATACATACCGTAGACGTAGTCTTAGTTGAAATTTAATGCAATGTAGTGGATTTTTTTGTGTAATTTACCGGTATTATAGTGTGATGGGCTTATATACGGGTGGGCTTATGTAGGGGTGGGCTTATATTCGGGGGGGGGGGCTTATATTCGGAAGTTTACGGTATCGCATTACTGGACAGTTACACACATAAAAATCTAAACAACTTGTCCGCAACAAGATGTGTTCGCAACGGGCTTGCAGGAAGCTTGTCAACAATGCAATTATTTTATCAAGTTGCTACAAAGTTGTCACTCGCAACTTGTTGACAAATTGTTTAATTGCAGGACGATAACAAGTTGTTGGAACAACTTGTAACAAGTCTGTTGAGCTCAACAACCTTGTAGCAAGTTCCAACAAGAACTTGTCAACAAGCTGGGAACAAGCAGTGCGAACACATCCTGTTGACAAGTTGTTGGAACAGAATTGCTGCAAGTCTGCTGCAGGTTTGTTGCAACTTGTGCTTGCTTATGTATGCATAGTGTAGAGTTCTCTAAATGAATGAAGTTGATAGAGCTATCCATAATAAAATACTCATTATAGGGGGAACAAAATATGTGCGTCAATAACAAAATTCATGAACACAATACTTGCATTCTAACACTATATTGTAAAAGTCATACAAGTACCTTGACTAAAAGTTCTTCTTTTTTATGTGCATGTTGTAAAACATCTTTAAAACGTTCTTGTTTTGCTTGGCGTTGTTTCTCCAGCTCGATTCTCGCTGCTTCTTGCCTCGCTTCAATCGTCTTGCGTTTTTCTTCCAATTTCACAGCGACTTGCTTCGTCTTCTCTTCTACACTTTCAGTGCGAACATGATGCACTTGTTTCACATGCTCCATTTCCGCCACAATTTTTTCGTGTTTTTCACTTGCGAGAATCTAAATAGCAAATCATTTTCACTCGCAGACGGTCCTTTGAAACGTGACACAGGCTATATTATGATCATTTCACCTAATGTCATGCACTATAGTAATAATGGATGGTTCCAGGTATAGACGAAATTTTGATCTGGACAAGAAGAAGGAAACCAACACAACAGCTGGAAAGAGCATCTTAAAATGAGTAAAATTGCAAAGTTTGGTTGCGAATTTTTGTAAAATAAGGAAAATATAGCCCTGTGAGACCTGTGAACATATGTGAAGCTCGCAAATTTTGCATTGCGCCGAAGGTGGTTATTTTTACCATAAGGCCAAAAAAAATATATGTGGGTTTCCGGTTTCTTCTTATAAAAACTTAGGTAGGGTAGGTCGGTTTTAACTTTTTTTTTAACTTTTTTTTTTAATTTTCCGAACAAGCGGACGCCATTTTGTTTAGTCAGTGCTTCCACATCCAAAGATAAATTTCCCTAATATTGCCTCAAATTTCAATTTTCCACAAACTTTTTCCTCTAAGTGGAAACACTTACAAGCATAATCCAATAAAAAAGTTTAGGGTCGGGATTTCGACGTCCAAAAGCTAGGTAGGGTCGGGAAACCGGAAACCCACATATTTTTTTTTTGGCCTAATAATATATACAAAATTTGCGAACTTCACAGGGCTATATTTTCCTCATTTTACAACATTTAGCAACCAATCTTTGCAGTTTTGCTCATTCTAAGACGCTCTTTCTAGCTGTGGTGTTGGATTTCGTTCATCTTGCCTTGATCAAAATTTAGTCTGCAGCTGGTATCACCCATTAATATAATTTCACAATAACAATTAAGTACAATAACCGAACCTTTCTTCTATGTGCGGCCTCAACTAACTTCTTATTAACAATTTCTTTGGTAATTTCTTTGGCAGGGGATTCGATATTTGGCTTCTTCTCTGGTTCGAGTGCTGGTTTTATCACAACTTCATACGCCAAGCCAGCTTTCACCTCTTTTGCGTTGGTTACTGGAAAATCAACTGATGCTCGTAAGAATAAGGCAGGAGTTCTAGCTTGAAACTAAAGGCCCTGTCACACTATTGCGTATCGTACTAGCGTATGCCAGCGTATAAAAAATATCACTCATACGCCGGTATACGCTGACATACGCTAGGGGTACGTTAGGCATAGGTTATATACGTTTCAAGCACGTTCGTGTACGGCGGCATACGCTGGCATACAGCCAGGCAGAAAATTTTTTTAAGCATGCTCAAAAATTTTGTGCGTATCGGACGTATGCTTTATACGATAAGCATACTCTAGGCACACGCTGAATACGCTAGAGGTACGCCAGATGTATGGTACTCATACGCTGGCATTTCAAAGGATTTTTGTGCGTATGAAAATTATTTCATTAATTTTCATACGCTTCTCATATGTTTCTCTCATGCGCAATAGTGTGACAGGGCCTTCACGTATACATGACAAGATTTAACATTTTTAATACCATCACATATTTTAAGAATTAAGAAGTTTTTTTTCCGAAATAATAATTTTTTGAAGAAATAAGCTTTTGAAGCCAGAAATAAGCCACTGAACTGACAATCAATGACTGGATGGCATATAGAGAACAGTGACCAGCGGGCTTTTCAAAACAATATGAAAAGACAATAGTCAATACAACATTAAAGCCGGTTTTCCACTAAGCGGAATTTTGCGCGCGTAGCGGAATTTTTCTTTATCTTGTGATTTATCGGGTGGAACTAATTAGAAAAGACATAGAAAGATTCCGCTCCGCGCGCAAAATTCTTTTCTAATTAGTTCCACCCGAGAAATCACCTCATTAGGCGGATTTGTGATTACTGGCTCATGACTCAACCTACCGTTATGCTTTCTAATTAGTAATTGTTAGACAAATTCAAGGAACACAGGAATTATCAGGGTTGATAGGTTTGCTGAATAATTAGGTCAAACACCGTCACACTAGGCCTTTGTTTTCTTTGTCTTGGCCTTTTGTTTTCTTTGTTTTCTAAACGGCACTATATAATGACGATTTGGCCTAATTATTCATCTAACTTACCAACCCTGGGAATTATATATAATACATCTTACTCTCATGAAAACACCACCTAAATGTTTTTCCAAAATTGTTAAACTCGAGGTTTTACTAACAATTCACAAATCTATATGATATATGAACTGTATTTATATTATTTAGCATATTTCAATCGATACATACCCATGCCTTCCAGTTGGACTTTTTCAACATTTTGAGTGCTGTTATCACCCGCATTCTCTGAAGTGATTTCTTTGTCAACTGGTACTTCCATTTTATCTTCAACTTCGTTTATGTATTCTTGTGGCGTTGTTTCTTGATCAGACCCAGACAAGACTACAGTTGCTTTGCTGTAAAGCAAAATACTACAGTTAGCAAATGGGGGGCATATGCGATGAGATATATCAAATATGCGGTAGCTAGTTTTGTATTTGGTGGCAAATAAAATGTAATATCGCGTGACCGATGTATTTTAATTCGCTCGTTCTTGTATAAAGTGTCAACATATTGTTTAATATTTCTGCACTACCTGAAAACGATATCTCAAACATGCACTCCGCCTTTCGGGCGTCGTGTTTCCATACAATTTCTCGTTTTCCCAATTCCACTCGTGTTCATATAACTATATATCAACACGGAAAATGTTTTATATTTGTTAGGGAAGCCTCACATATCGATTTTGTCCATGAGAAAGTCATATGTTCGTTTCTCTGGAGACCCCCCCCCCACCCCCCCTTAGAAACGTCACACATAGTTATCGATATTTTGTTCTTATAGTACACATAAGGTAATTTTCCACTATTTTTTTCGGTCGGCTATCGGCGATGCTTCCGCGAGGAATATGTCATCGTCTGCTGACATACTCTTACATTTTATTAATATATATATGAACTTCAAAATTTATCTCGGCCCCCCTTATAAATTTTT